TACGCACCCTTTTGACCGAGGCATTGAAAGGAAAAAAGAAAGATGACAACGAAGAAGTTGCCCGACTAGTGTGCATGTATGCTTGCCAGAAGCTTTTTTTCTCAACAAGCGGAGAGACAATAGGATGGGGCTACTACGCACATATGGTCCCACTGGAAAGCATGCAAGAATATGATTGGGCCAAGCAAATTAGGACAATGTTGACATCGTCTATTTTCCAAAATAACAAAAATCCAGCAAAAGTCACCGGCTGTGTCATGTTATTGATGGTAAGTACCTATGTTTTCAAATAATAACATTCACATGTCCTCCAGTGTTGTTCATCTAAGCCAACAGTGAACATTGACATCTGCACCATTGATGTGAATCTCCGTAGGCAATTATATTTCACAGATGTGAATGTTCACATCTGAATCACTGATGCGAATGTCCATATTCACTCATAATATACTACTGTGAATGTTTACGACACTACTCCGTAGGCAATTATGTTTTCACTACTGTGAATGTTCACATCTGAACCACTGATGTGACTGATCACATTCACTCATAACATACTACTGTGCATGTTCACAACAGTGCCACAGCACTTATGTTTCTGTCATCATTCACATCAGTGATTCAAATGTGAACAGTGTGAATGTTCACATTCAATGATAATGTACTACTATGAATGTTTACCACACTGCTCCGTAGGCAATTATGTTTTCACTACTGTGAATGTTCACATCTGAAGCAGTGAATGTGACTGATCACATTCACTCATAACATACTACTACGAATGTTCACAACAGTGCCACATCACTCACGATTCGCAGATGTGAATGTTCACATTCAATGATAATGTACTACTAGGATGTTCACAACAATGCCATTGTGATTAATGTTCACATAGGTTGCCATTACTCTACAAATGCTAAATAACAATATGCGTTTCTTATTTTATTGAAGTACTGGTTGTGTGAGCACACAACCGTCCTACAACCTCACAGACCCAATGTTTTTCCTCGTTGTGTGAAGTGGGATCTGACTGCTTTGCAGAAGAAGATGAAAACCATCTCTTTAGCTGATTTGGGTTTTAATGAGGTAGGGCCTTCAACTACTGATCAAAACATTCACATTATAACACCACCCAAATATATGCGTTAAGTAACATAATTTTTTCATTTTCAGGTTAATGCCGGTGAACTCTTTGCAATCCCAACAGAATTACAAAAGTTCAAGCGTAAAACATTGAAGGTGGAGCCTGAAATTTATGAACCAGGCAGAACATCTCCCAACCTTTCTGACATCAAGGGAGAACAACACAGTGGCAGCAACTCCCAATTTTCTGGGGATGGGGTCGACCTGAAGGACAGTAATGAGGACATTCACATTCCATTTAGCAACCAACATTATGACAGAGCTATTGTAATACCAGACACAAACCAACCTGATATCATTGATGTGCTTATCCAAGAAAATCGGAAGGCTTGGGGCATCATAAGGCAATGGGAAGCAAAGTACAAACACCTTCAATTTTCATGGGAGTTGAGGGCAAGAGTCATAGCTGATCTTGAACATGGATTGTTTAACCAGTCCAGCTCGCCCAACGTGAATATCGAAATGAAGAAGTGCATGGAGCAGAAGGATAAAGAAATCAAACGCTTAACGCAGCTGGTCATCGACTTAGAATGCGATAAAACAATTCTTCAGGATCTTTACGATGACCAGTCAGTCTACATTGTCACACAGGCTATGTCAGAAAGGCAACTCCCTAGCCCAATGCAACACAATATCAGCCCACCTTCTAGGGTCAAGCGTATAAAGGAAAAAGATCGCAAAGAACATCGCCTGCCTGACTTCCAATACCCAGACTTACTTGGCCAAAAACAGCCCCATCCAGTCGAAATGGTTGAAGATGTGGAGAAACACCCACCAGTGAAGCAGCCAAAAAAATTATCCTTTACCAACAAGTTCAAAGTCTGGGCCAAGATGTCCAAACATGACAAACAAAAGGTCCAAGCTTTACAAAAAAATGGAGGCGATGAGTAAGTGACTGTGCAAACATCCAATGTTAACATTCACATTCCGTAATAGTCTATATTCCTCACTGTGTTCAATTTTTTTGGTTTGTTCAGATATATGCAATGTGAATATTTACATTGGTTTGTTAATAATGCACAGGCTGCTGGTGTGGAAAGGAGATTCGAAGGCTACACTTGTGTATTTTGATGACATTGGCAACCTTATCAAGGAGGAATCAATACACAGCAATGTATGCCATTACAAACATAATTCACTCTTCATGCATATGCACACACAGACACACATACACTCACATCCACAAAATCTATATAATATGACCCCATATTTGTGCAGCTCATAGATGCATATGCTGAACTGTTGCATGAACAACAAGAGATAGTCAACCCAACTTCGGATGAAGCCTCATTGATCTTCACGAGCATGTGTTTGGTAAAATCTATCATTCCATTACTTGTAATGTGACTGTGAAACTTCACAGTCCATTAATTATTTGTCAAATGTGTACAGAAAGTGATACGAGAGTACCATCCTCGCAAAAGGAGTAAACACATTGACGCACATGTCAAAAACTACCAAGGAGAGAGATACCTACTATTCCCATTGCATCATGAGTACCACTGGACGATAGTTGTGTATGATGCTAAAGACAATTTGTGGAAGCATTACAACTCGTTGCGCCCAAGAACAAGCATACATGACCCGCATATCGACCAAGCACAGGAAATTGTAAGTGGCTATTTTTCAACATAAACATGACTTGTTCTCGTGCATTAAATGACTGTACACACACATATGTTTGTTGGTCCCTAATGTGAAATTCCATACACAGAGGAACTACATTGAGCATGTTGTGACCGTTATTGGCGAGTCATCACCGCTACACACTAAGTTAGCAGGCCAAAATCCAGCACAACCAACCAAAAGTGTTGATGTCTGTCCTCAACAAGGCGACGACTCGTAAGCCTCACTAAATTTTTTTTCAAATCCTCCACAACCATTATGCAAATATTCCTGTCAACTGCTAATCAAAACCATTTCACATTTACAGAGTGGACTGCGGACCTGCAGTATGTTACATCATGCGGGCGCACATATATCATGAAGAAATTGTGGGCAGCCTCAATAGTGCAGAATGGTGTGGACTACGAGATTTGTTAGTGCACAGTTTTTTGAATCATAAGAAATCAGAGCGTCATTAAAACCTATAGGTGGGGGGTGTCCACCTACGAACTAACCAACAGTCGGTTTGAATGTTAATATGGAAAGCGTTGATATTTTGACACAGCAACTGATTGTAAAACAGTGATACAACATCTGTTAATAGGAAAAAGGCAGCTGCGAATTTTGAACTACTTTTGGTGTTGTTATGTTTTACAGATGTGAATGTTCACAGTTGTACCACTGATGTGAATGTTCATATTCACTTATGATATTTATACTGCTGTGTTGTGATGAGCCTAATTTATGCGATTGTTTGAACCCGATTATTCTATAGTACACATATTTTCTGTAGGAATGTCTATATGACATCATTACGGATAACATACACATGTGTGAATATTCACATTTGTGGTTGCTCATAGCAATTGTAAACACTGATGTGAATGTTCACACTCACGTACGATATTCATAATATGACCCCATGTTTGTGCAGCTCATAGATGCATATGCTGAACTGTTGCATGAACAACAAGAGGTGGTCAACCCAACTTCAGATGAAGCCTCATTGATCTTCACGAGCATGTGTTTGGTAAAATCTATCATTCCATTACTTGTAATGTGACTGTGAAACTTCACAGTCCATTAATTATTTGTCAAATGTGTACAGAAAGTGATACAAGAGTACCATCCTCGCAAAAGGAGTAAACACATTGACGCACATGTCAAAAACTACCAAGGAGAGAGATACCTACTATTCCCATTGCATCATGAGTACCACTGGACGATAGTTGTGTATGATGCTAAAGAAAATTTGTGGAAGCATTACAACTCGTTGCGCCCAAGAACAGGCATACATGACCCGCATATCGACCAAGCACAGGAAATTGTAAGTGGCTATTTTTCAACACAAACATGACTTGTTCTCGTGCATTAAATGACTGTACACACACATATGTTTGTTGGTCCCTAATGTGAAATTCCATACACAGAGGAACTACATTGAGCATGTTGTGACCGTTATTGGCGAGTCATCACCGCTACACACTAAGTTAGCAGGCCAAAATCCAGCACAACCAACCAAAAGTGTTGATGTCTGTCCTCAACAAGGCGACGACTCGTAAGCCTCACTAAATTTTTTTTCAAATCCTCCACAACCATTATGCAAATATTCCTGTCAACTGCTAATCAAAACCATTTCACATTTACAGAGTGGACTGCGGACCTGCAGTATGTTACATCATGCGGGCACACATATATCACGAAGAAATTATGGGTAGCCTCAGTAGTGCAGAATGGTGTGGACTACGAGATTTGTTAGTGCATAGTTTTTTGAATCATAAGAAATCAGAGCTTCCTTAAAACCTATAGGTGGGGGGTGTCCACCTACGAACTAACCAACAGTCGATTTGAATGTTAATATGGAATGCGTTGATATTTTGACACAGCAACTGATTGTAAAACAGTGATACAACATCTGTTAATAGGAAAAAGGCAGCTGCGAATTTTGAACTACTTTTGGTGTTGTTATGTTTTACATATGTGAATGTCCACAATTGTACCGCTAATGTGAATGTTTACAGTCACGTACGATATGCATACTGCTATGTTGTTGTGAGAAAAATTTCTGCAAATGTTTGAACCTGACTGTTGTTAAGTACACATACTTTGTGCAGGAGTGTACACTTGGTCTACGTGACATAATTACGGATCACATACACATGTGTGAACATTCACATTTGTGGTTGCTCATAGCAATTGCAAACACTGATGTGAATGTTCACACTCACGTACGATATTCATAATATGACCCCATGTTTGTGCAGCTCATAGATGCATATGCTGAACTGTTGCATGAACAACAAGAGGTGGTCAACCCAACTTCAGATGAAGCCTCATTGATCTTCACGAGCATGTGTTTGGTAAAATCTATCATTCCATTACTAGTAATGTGACTGTGAAACTTCACAGTCCATTAATTATTTGTCAAATATGTACAGAAAGTGATACGAGAGTACCATCCTCGCAAAAGGAGTAAACACATTGACGCACATGTCAGAAACTACCAAGGAGAGAGATACCTACTATTCCCATTGCATCATGAGTACCACTGGACGATAGCTGTGTATGATGCTAAAGAAAATTTGTGGAAGCATTACAACTCGTTGCGCCCAAGACCAGGCATACATGACTCGCATATCGACCAAGCACAGGAAATTGTAAGTGGCTATTTTTCAACACAAACATGACTTGTTCTCGTGCATTAAATGACTGTACACACACATATGTTTGTTGGTCCCTAATGTGAAATTCCATACACAGAGGAACTACATTGAGCATGTTGTGACCGTTATTGGCGAGTCATCACCGCTACACACTAAGTTAGCAGGCCAAAATCCAGCACAACCAACCAAAAGTGTTGATGTCTGTCCTCAACAAGGCGACGACTCGTAAGCCTCACTAAATTTTTTTTCAAATCCTCCACAACCATTATGCAAATATTCCTGTCAACTGCTAATCAAAACCATTTCACATTTACAGAGTGGACTGCGGACCTACAGTATG